ATAGTTGAATTAAAATAATTGATGAAACTGTGGCTATTTGTAATATTGATTTAAACATTCTTTCTGAGTACCTGGGTGGCTCAGTCAGTTAAGCATCTGACTTTGGCTCAGGTCATGATCTCACAGTTTTTGAGTTTGAGCCCCATCTTGGGCTCTCTGCTGTGAACACAGAGCCCATTTAAGATTCTCTGTCTCCCTCTCACTCTCTCCCTCTCTCTCAAAAATAAATAAACATTAAAAAATAAATAAATAAAATAAGCTTTCTTTCTATATATTGGAGACATCTATATGTGTGTATATGCATATATATATATATAGAGAGAGAGAGAGAGACTATATACAAACACTCTATATATTAGATGATTCATTAATGGAAAAAAATAAATGCATATTTTATGCACATACAACATTACATGTATGAGTAGCTTCAGAGTATTCTGACGTATGTATTAATGATTCATGGATGCAGTTACCAGGAGAATGAAGTCATTTGGTTTATGAATGTTTCATAGCTTATAGTTCACTTGAAGCTTAGATTAATTTCATTTTTATATGCCATTTTTGGTCCATGTATTTCTGCAGTTCATTTAAATGATCAAGCCGGTTTTTCATGAAGGAAAACTGACTTGAAAAGCACAAAATCACAAAATAAGTTTAAAATCTAAATGGACCAAAATTGAAAATGTTATCTTTGGTAAGCTTGTCAGTGACTTTGTATGTCAGAAAAAAGAATACATTCTGAGTCCTTGTGGTTATAGGAAGGAACTTGCGTTCTCACACAAAGAACTTTGAAAGATGGAATAGAAAGTTTGATGATCTAAATTTGGCTACTATATAACAGTTTGGCCTTTTCTATGACATCAATACATTAGTATGAGAAGGTTGTCAGAATTCTGATGACAGAAATCATCCTCAACTGTTATCCCTCTCTTTTCCCTCCTTTTCAGTGGAAGTTGAATTCTAACAAATCTTCTTTCCACAAATCTTTTTAACCTGTTCAGTCTTAGCTCCATGTAGAACAACTTATCATTTCCCCAGAATGAACTTCTATGCCAGCTTCAGCCTTGACCCCTCCAAATCATCCTTTCCTCAGCTGCTGAGAAGCTTCTACCAGTTCTCCCATGCCCACTGCTACTCTAGTCCACGCCACCTGTACCTCATGCCTGTGTTACTGCCACAACATCCTCCTAAACAATTTCTGAAAAAACTGATCATATCACCCCATTGCCTAAAATCCTGCAGCGGCATCCCATTTCACATTTAATAGAATCTAGAGCCCTTACTGTGCCACTATATTTGCCCTCTGCCTCTGCCACTGACTTCCATCTCCTTCAACTTTTCTCTGATTCAAGGTCACTACCATGTGGCCTTCTTTCCAAACCCCAAACTGCAAAATTCCTTGCCATCTCAGATAATTTGCTTTAAATCTTCTTCACATAGTCTTTCAAGTGGCTTCTTTCTCAACAACCAAGTCTCAATCCAAATGATCTTTTTAAGAAACCTTCACTGAATACCCAATCCCTCTCTGCTTTGCACTCTCCATTTTAATAGCATATGCTAACTTCTTGATAGACTTCAGTTGATTCCTGAAATTATCCTGGATAATAATGTGGGCTCTGGGCTTAGACTACCAGGTTTCAAACTTTGGCTCTTCCACCTCTTGGCTTCCACCCGGGAAAGGTATTTAATCTCTATTTCTTTTTCTCTAAAACGGGATAATAATACTTCATAACCTTGTTGCAAAACCTAAATGATTTAAACCTGAAGTTCATAGAACAATGCCTTTCTCATCATTTTATTTATTGTAGATATAGTACAATCTATACTAAACTTTATCTCTTTGAAATACAGAATCGGTTTAGTTCGTCCACTTCTGTAACTGACATCTGGAACACAGTCTGGTGCTAAATAGTAGATCCTCAATAAATGTGTGAGCTACTGTTACCCAAGTAGAGACCTAGTAAAGGGCAGCTCTGACCAGAGAAATTCAAACTCCAAATGTTTTAAAATAGTGTGGGAAAGGGGTGCCTGGCTGGCTCAGTAGGTTAAGCAGCCAACATCAGCTCACGTCATGATTTTGTGGTTCATGAGTTGGAGCCCCGCGTCAGGCTCTGTGCTGACAGCTCAGAGCCTGGAGCCTGCTTCAGATTCTGCGCCTCCCTCTCTCTGCCTCTCCCCTGCTTTTCTCTGTCTCTCTGTCTTTCAAAAATAAATAAATGTTAAAAAATTAAAAAAAATAAAATAGTGTAGGAAAAATTATTTAATTTACCATTCTTGCCTTTGGCTCTAGTTGAAAATTTCTAACTGCCAAATATAGTCACCCTTGAACAGCAGATTTCAATTACTGAGATCTGAATACATGTGTCAGTCCTAAAAAAGGAAATCAGCATGAAGATGATAATAGATAGATAATGAACTTTACCTCCAACCATGAAGTTGATATTAGAAACAAAATCACCAGGTCCAGATGAGACTTGGGAGTATTAGCCAGGTTACCTGGGTCAGAACTAGGGAGAAGGCTCCTGGATATGACCCACAGATATAGAGTGAAACAACTCAAGTAGCTTCTCAGAATGGAAATGAGTCTGATGCTTTTGGGTGGTCAGGATTGGCACAAAAATGGGACAGAGCATGCCCTATAAATAAGCACTACTGGATCACATTTGTATATGTGGGATCTGCTGGAGAAGTAAGAAAGAGGGAAAAAGTCAGATTATAGGTAGCTTCCTAAATGTTGTTTATATAAATTGGTTCAGATGTGGGTAAAATTGACAACACCCCATTTTCAGATTGTTGCTAAGATTGCTAGTTAAGGTATGTACCATATATTGATTTTTACTGCATATTATTAGGAAATCATGACTAGGTTAAATATATTATAGGCTATGAAGCAGAAGGAGTATTAAAGCCTCTTGTTTGTCTCAAATTAATTATCTTAAGTCAGAGTTTAATGGGACATGCACACAGGAAAGCTGAATCTACGTTTTCACTTTATCAAATTGTATAGCCCTATACCATTGACTGTGTTTGTAAACTTTAACAAGTTCTATAAGATACTGGATACTTTGTTTGGCCTTTGGCAGGCTTTTTTTTTTTTTTTTTTTTTTTTGGCTGTAGCATCTGCTCAGAGTGTCAGAGTACAAATTTAGAAACTTATATATAGAGAGCCAGGAAGTCATTATTTCAGGAACTGATTTGTTACAAATTTCTCGAGTAAAACCACATTGCTTGGAAGACCTCTCGACATATAAAATACAAAGGTATGTGTCTAATCCTTCTGAGAAACTTGGCATTTAAGCAGAACATGAAGCTGAGTTACGTAAGGACTCTAATACCAATAACCATGTTACATAAAGTATTGCATATTATGAAATCTTAGTGTATCCTCCTGTGAAATTACTCTCTATGCTTTATAATAACGTGTGTTCATGGACTGAGAAAGTTATGCTATTAAATTTTAAAGGCTTTAGATATAAGTTGTTAAAAGATTTAATATTCTTGAGTCTTGATTTTGGTTTACATAATTCATAGCTACTTTTATACACATTACTAATGAAAATTTTTGATATATTAAGTCAGATGTATGAACTGCTACATCTAATTTTAGAAAAGCTTTCTGTATATCTATCAAACTGAAAGAATTTGATATATTTGACAATCACTTCAATATTTGTGATTAATGAAGCTCTTAGAGCTAAGGCTGTTTTTACAATTTCATTCAAAACTTATTAATAACAGTAGTCTATAAATTACTATATTGTGTGAATTGCTCTCATGATATTTAAATTCACTTCTTTGAAATAAAATGTTTTTTCAGAGAAAAATAAAGATTAAAATGTTGAGTTGAATAACCATATCTGTCTACTTGAAAAAAATCTTCATTCTGTAATTTTCATCCAAAGAGCCACTATTACCTTGCTATTACTTTCTTCCCCACCTTTTTCTCCTTTCAAGTCTTTCTATCTCCCTCTGGTATTTCTAGCCATTAGGCCTAAATTAAGATCACACACTCTTCTTCGCTCCCTAAGTGAGTAGAAATCATGTAGAGAGTGTGTATAGAAAGACTGATTCCTCCCGTAGCAGAACTGAGCCTTTCTCCCTCTCACTCAGTCAGCCTTGTAGCTGCAGGAAAGGCAAGAGAAAAAGAAAAATGTTCCAGATACATTTAAGGAATTGGAAAGTAGAAACTGGTTTGTAGGATTTGGGTTTTGTTTGCTTGTGTGTTTGTTTGTTTGGTGCCAGGGTGGGGGTGGGGGGGCTGTTAGGAAAGCTGTTAACACACTTCAAAACTCTAGGGAAAATGAAATTCAGAATTATCAGCCATTTGCTTTCTGGCTTTGCAACATGTATCCATGCATTTAGAGTGAGGGACTAACATTGTTTAAGGGAAAACCTTCTAGATGTATACCATTTTTTTTAGCATTCAACGGTCAGATTTATTATTTTTTTAGTATAGTTTATTGTCAAGTTGATTTCCATATAAATACCCAGTGTTTATCCCAACAAATGCCCTCCTTCATGCCCATCACTCATTTTCCCCTCTTCCCCACTCCCCATCAACCCTCAGTTTGTTCTCAATATTGAAGAGTCTCTTATGGTTTGCCTCCCTCCCTCTCCTTAACTTTTATTCCCCCTTCCACTCCCCTATAGTCCTCTGTTAATAGATGTATACCATTTTAAAACTTTTCTCTTTTAAACTGCTAAAATAAATAATTTGATGTCAAATGCTAGTTCTTTGACATCAAAATCAATTTGGTCAAAATCACAGTCCTAGTGAGCGAAAACCTCGGAAAAGTTCATTGAAGATTCACATTTTGTAAAAGACTTTCTAAATACATTTCCACACCCTTTTCCAATACTTAATTTAGCCCATCCAAAGAATACATTACTCTCTAATAGGAATCCAGCCATAATAACATCATCAGTTAATCCTTGTAACTATCTCAAAAGAAATTTCATTGACTCAGAATTCCCAGTAAAAAAACATTCCTATTTTTCAGGATGTCAAACTTGGGACAATTTGACTCCGATTTTTACCAATCTAATTATACTATTGATAATCAGGACCAGAGTTCTGAAGATTCTAATGCCTATGGAAATATTTATGCATCTAGAGGGTAAGTATGCTTTCATTTTAAGAAGACATAATATTTTAACAATGGAGGGCTTCCTTAGGGAAAGCCAAAGCTCTTTCCAGCATATCTTGGTAAAATACCCAAGAAGAAATGTCAGGAAAGGTCAAGGAAATTAATTCACTTCACCACAGGTCCATTTATAGGTGGGTGGCTTGTCTCCTGTTTTCAAAATATCACTTGACAGGGAGCCTGAAGACAGGCCCTGGACAGAACAGAAAACATTCTCATTTTACATGATATTTTCTGGGACACTGATCAAGAAATAGATTTTATTTAATTAATAAACATTTATCGAGTGCCTTTTTGTATCTTAGGAATTAAGAAGGATACTATGAACACAAAGATAAAAAAAGAAGTCCATAATCTTTTCCCTCATAAAATTTAGGAATTTATGTTGTAGAGAGGGTAATTATATATACAATTATAATACAGTGTGAAAGCTCTTAACTGGAATTAAAATAAACATATTTTAGATTGTTAATTATTTGAGTTGATAATTTAACTTGAGTTGAAAATAAAAAAAGACTAAGAATTTAGTATTTACCCTTCACTAACTTAAATAGGACAAAGGCATTTAGGGGAAGAATAATTTGGTTCAAGTTCTGGCTCTAGCCTTTGTTCTTTGTGGTATTGGGAAACACTTGAACTTCCCTGAGTGTCATTAACTAAATAAGGGCATTAATAATACCTACTTCATGGAATTACCATGAAGAACAGTTGTGATAATCTATAGGAAATTGTGTTGTATTATAAAACCATAAAATAAATATTAGGGTTTTTTTTTTCTGTAACTATAGCTAGTCACATCAACGGACACTTTATTGTCTAAAGTCATTTAAACTTAACGGTATATGTTTATAGAGTTGCTTCTTAGGATGTTCTTTTGTAAGTCTAGATTAGTGAATTATAAGAAGGGTCAGGCCTTTCAGCTTTCAAGATAACTAACGGTTAGTGAACTCTTACTGCGTGCTAGGTACTATTGTGAGTTGTACATAAGTTAGCTCATTGGATCCTCAGACAGTCCTGAGATGAGTGCTGGTATATTTCCCCACTTTACTTATTTTTCCCCGGTTTTACTTATGAGAAAACAGGGACCCAGAGAAATTCAGGAACTTTTCCAAGTTACACAGCTAGTAAGAAATAGAGTTTGGATTTTAGTCCAAGGTTATTGATTAGACCCATAACTAAGGTGAGCATATAATTTATTATAAAATCAAGACATTTTAAGGGTAAAATCCATGCCATAAATAATAATGATGATACAATAGGATTCAAACTGGACTATCTTAGGTAAACTGGGATATGTGGTCACTATTTCATTCCAACAAGTTTAGGCCAAATATAATCACATAAGAAATATTTTTAGTTTATTAATTCTTGAGTGTATTTTTCTAAAAGCAGATAAGTACCTTGAAAGATCCAGATGAAGGAGGAAAATACAGAATAAATACAACAGGCAATGGTAACTCTTCTATTCCAACTATGCCCAGGACAGCTTGGAAATTGTTTCCCCTGGCTGGTCACTCCTGATGACATAGACAGATAGGTGCTGTTTTCTAGCTACTTCCTGCCGAACCACTACTCCAAGGCAATAGGGAAAGGTATTAGTATAAAATGTTTTTGAAACTGTAAAAGTTTAATATCTGGAGTTTTATCTCATTCACATCCCTATTCTATGTTATCCAGCTTCAGTCAGGTTACCATAAGCATTCCTTAATATGAAAAGCAATCTATACCACTCCCTCCGTCCCTCTCTCTGAACATTATCAGGCAAATTAAGATATTTTTTAAAATATTTATTAGAAAAATAGGACAAAAGAATAGAGTTGTAGAGAATTGGCTCTATCATTGCAGAATCTACAGAAAAAGAACTTGATTTTCTTTCATTTACGATTTACACTTTGGAAGGCCAAGAAAAAGTATTTGGTGTCAGAAAGTGTTAATTAGGTAGAGGGAGTCACTTGAACATTAATTAAGGTGTTACAGGATGATAACTCAAAATACATAATCCAAAATGAGAGCTATCTAACAGGATTTTTCTGCTCTGTTCTCCTATTTTAGGAAAAGAAACTAGTCACCTTCTGTTTATTTTCTCCCTTCTCTTCTCCAGTTGGAATAAAACACCAGGGTAGTATCTATAGTCTACATTTTCAGACTAAACTGAAAAGCCCAATAAGAGTGATATAAAACTTTCTCCTTATGCAGGGACTCCTGGACCACAGCTTTCTTCCTGCCAACACCACCCAATTTTCTTTCTCATTTGATTACACATATCAACATTGCCCAGAAATCAAGATGACAAAGAGATGGAAATTAACATAACCAAATGAGAAACCTCAAGATTATATTATATTAGGTTGATGGCCTGGCCAGCTTCAGTTGCTTAGCATTTAAATCCAAGTCCTGATTTTGCTACAGTAACATTTAAATTCCAATCCGCACTGCAAGTCTCAGGAATTAGAAAAGGGCATATTAGCTATGGTAGTTTTATGAGGTACATAAAACATGGAGTCAAGTCAGTGACTTACTAGTGTACATCAAACTCCAGAGATTTGATCTTTTATTCATACAGTGAATAGTTCAATTAAAATACACCCCAAATCACAGTAAAGATGCTGACCATTCTGGCAAAAGACACAGGATCCAGGGGATAGTTATAATCAGTTAGTCTCCTCTCTGTCTCTGTTCACCCCTGCCCCCATTAATGGGAGCTTGCTCACTGGAATACTCATCTGAAAGCTGGTTGACTATGCTTATTAAGACAATAAAGATATTTATATTTAAAACAAATTTTCTTATTTTATAATAAACAAGAAGGAGTTTTCTCATTAAAAAAAAAAAAAACTATTTACACAGGGGTGCCCACGTGGCTCATTCAGTTAAGCGTCCAACTTAGGTTAACTCACGGTTTGTGAGTTTGAGCCCTGCGTCTGGCTCTGAGCTGTCAGCTCAGAGCCTGGAGCCTGGTTTGGATTCTGTGTCCCCCTTTCTCTCTGTCCCTTTCACACTTGTTTCCTCTCTCTCTCTCTCTCTCTCTCTCTCTCCCCCTCAAAAATAAATAAACACTAAACATTTTTTAAAACTATTTAGTCATTCAGGTAGGCATTATTTCCAGTCATCTATATCCATCTATCTAGGCTATATTTTCCAGCTATATTTTCCCACTATATTATATTTCTATTTTTTAAAATAGAAAATCTATTCAAATTATTTAGAGCAAGAAATAGATACTTATGCAGAAAAGGTGACAACAACTAGAAAACTCCCTATGAATGTTTTCGTAGGGCTTTAACAGACTGAACCCCAGCTTTTCTGAATCCCCAGACCTCATCTTCCTCTAGAGTGTCTAGCATAGTTAGTGGCACTGCCAATGGCACAAAGTCACTGGCACCCACTGGCTCAGCCAGAACCTGGGAATGTTGTATAAGTTTGCCCCTCTGCCACCATCCCCCAAACCATACTGCCATCCAACTGATCCTGTATATTTTGTACTGACCGAGATTATTTATTTATTTGTTTGTTTGTTTATTAAGGTTTGTTTATTTATTTATTTTGCAAGAGACAGAGACAGTGCAAGTGGGGGAGGGCCAGAGAGAGAGAATCCCAAGCAGGCTCCGGACTGCCAGTGCAGAGCCCAGTGTGGGGCTCAAGCCCACAAAGCCATGAGATCATAACCTGAACTGAAATCAAGAGTTGGATACTCAACCTACTGAGCCACCCAGGTACCCCTGTTCTTACCTAGAATATTTAGAATGCTTCACTTTACTGGCTCAACGGGAGACTTACATAGATAAATTGATTCTGGGAGTACAGATCAAATGTTTTTAACCAGCAGGGTATTTTCATTATAGATCTTTCCTACTATTGTCTCAGGCTGTTTCATGTGATAGTATTGCAAATCCTGAAACCTTCATAGTCACAGTTTTTTGGAGGCATGCTGTGTCATTTGGGTCTAGGAAATATACCTATACTTGAACATTAGTTAAATGTGCAGTTAGACTTTCAATGAATTGTACATATCTGGTGATACATTTTTTTCCACCTAATTTACAATCTAACCCTCCATATGGCAGTAGGAGTCAGCTCATCATCTACATGCCTTCTGGATAAGACTGACAGAGGAAAGCTGCTCAGGAGACTGTCGTGATGGTAGTCCATACCTACAGTTTTGGAACAATGAAACTTTTAGTAAAATTTGTAGCTAGTGACTATGTAATAGGACACAGAAAACATATTACTGCAATCACAAAAATTTATTACTGAGTCTTTTTTTAATGCTTATTTATATTTGAGAAAGAGAGAAACAGAGTGCGAGCAGGGGAGGAGCAGAGAGAAAGGGAGACATGGAATCTGAAGTAGCTCCAGACTCTGAGCTGTCAGCACAGAACCTGATGCAGATTTTGATCTTACGAACCATGAGACCATGTCCTGAGCAGAAATTGGACATTCAACTGACTGAGCAACCAAGTGCCCCTTACTGAGTCTTACCGCTGATCTTCTGTTTTTGTCTTGGAAGGTGAATGTTAAGTCCTGTTGCCTCAGAGGTAAAATATTTTCCCTAGCTGCAGACTGTGCCTTAACACAATATTATCCGTCTGGAGACTAATTGGAACTTCATAAACCCAGATGTAGATGGTGAAAAAAGGAAATACAAAAGAAGTGGTGAAGATACAGAGGGTTTTAAAATAAACCAGGGGTGTGGCCACTGCTTTATTGCTTAGAGACAGAAGGCCTGACATGCATGTAGTGGAGACTCTCCTGGTAGGAAAACACAAGACTGGTAGGGTGTTGTCAAAGTCAGTTTGGGTGTTTCAAGAAAACCAAAATGGTAACAAGCTAAAAATGATCAGCACAAAAAGCCTCCTGGCCTCCAATTAATGTTGTTTTCTTTGAGGAAGAGGCAACTATTTACAAATAGAGAAGAGGCTATTCCAGGATGTGTGGAAGGCATATAGAATGCTGTAGTGTAAGCCTCAGGAAGAAAACTGCATACAAATACTTAGCTAATGCTTATTGATCATTTTTTGTGTGCCCAACACCATTCTAAGTGCTTTACTTATTTCAGCTAATTTAATTCACAATAACCTTATGAGTTCGATTATTATTTTATTATAGAGCACATATTTTATGACTTGGGTATATTGGTAGAACAACCTTGATCCTTGTTAAACTTTGATACTAATTGTATTTTTTTAATTGGTTCTTATTGGTTCATACTTTTTGATGATATGCAATGTTATATTAGTTTGAGGTATATAAGGTAGTGATTAGATAATTCTATATATTAAACTATGCTCATTAGGATAAATGTAGTTACCACCTGTTACCATGTGTTACTACAAGCTTATTGACTATATTCCACATGCATTACTTGTCATCTCTGTGACTTATTAATTTTATAACTGGAAGTTTATAGGTTTTAATCCTCATCACCTATTTTCCCTATCCCCCACCTCCTCCCCTTGGGTAACCACTACTTTGTACCATGAGTTCTATTATTATCCTCATTTTACAGATGAGAAAACTGAGGCACAAATGTGATGTAATTTGCTTAAGATAAAGAAACTGGGATTTGAACACATGATTTAACTCCAGAGGCATGTTTTCTAACCCCTTGGTTTGGGATAAATTCTATCATTGGACTATTTCCTCAAGAGAAATGCAATCCCACACAGTCAGGAAGCAAAAGAAGAGTCCTATGACTGAGAATGTTGCCAGTTTTTCTAAAGGAATCTTTTGCAGTCATCTGACAGTTAAGCTTTTATTGAAGTATGTATTTTTACAGGAAGAGGAGATATCTGCTAACAAATTTAATGTTTAAACTCTACCAGCTGGAGTCCAGTGGTTTTTTTTTTTTTTGGTCTAATTTAGTTGACATTTGTTTCATCTGGAATAATGTGCTGAGTTAGAAATCATCAAATTTCAATATGCATCTTCTCATAGAGCTAATTAAGATGCTGTGTAATCAAGGAGAAGAGGAATATTTTGTTGATACACTCTGCACAACTCCCATTGCTATATGGAATATAGATAGGATAGAACCTTACCATCTTATGTGTTGGGTACACTAATTTAACTCATGAAATTGCCTTTAATAGGTTAATAATTCAGGGCTATGGGCTTAATAAAGCAATTAGGAAAATGTCCAGTCCATTCTCCCTGAATGACTTTCATGAAAGAATAGTGTAGGCTTAAAAGGTGTCACTGAAAATATAAGAGAACTATGTTAGCATAGCCATCAGAGTTAGCACCATCTAGTATAAAAGGATAATGCTAGAAAATGTGGGATTAAGTAAACATTCAAGATATATGGTTAAGAGTACACTTATCATGATGAGCACTGAGTAATGTATAGAGTTGTCGAGTCACTATAGGATATACTATATGGTTATATGAAATTAATATAACACTGTGTTAACTATGGAATTAAAATAAATAAGTTAGTAAAATAAAACAGAATGTGTGGTTAAATAAAATTATGGTCCACTCCAATTTACAGGAAAAAAAAGTCCTAAAACATGAGAATTGGGTTATTTACAGAGTTTGTTGGGTAGAACTGTGGACTAATAATGCACCCATATTAATATTGCTTAGATTTTATTGAGATGTAGTGTTAAATGTCAGAGTCAACATGCACAAAGTTCAAAAAAGAGAGAATTTTAATTCACATAGTGATAGGAGGTGACCACGGTAATTTTTGTTAGATAAAATATTTTGAGGTTTCCTTTGTAGGACAAATTTTGAAATTATACTTTCTTAAATAAGTGGCGGGAAAATTTTACTATTATGCCAAGGACAAAAGAGACCAAGTTCCTGATGAAGAAATTTTCTGGATGAAGGAGCAGAGAGGGAGGAAAGAAAAAGAGGATGGGATTTAGCTGGTAATGGGCTTCTTCTTCTTCTTCTTCTTCCTCTTCTTTTTTTTTTTTTTTTTTTGGGGGGGGTGGCAAAATGTTTTTCTCTTCGCAGGGATTGGGTCAAGGTAGCCAGTCACCTATGCTAAATTCCCCCATTCACAGAGATTGCTTTCCAGGGAGTAATTGTAAAAGTTATCTTTTCTCAAGCCTGGTTAATCACACCTGGGTATGGGTTTCAGTTTGCAGTGAAATAGCCTTGGTTAGATGCTGGTCCATTAGGTCACTTTATTTTACCCTTTTATTCTACATTAAAAAACATATGGATCATGGGGGGCTTTTATCAACAAGCATGCCCTTCAGATTATTATAATTCATTGCTACCAGTACTTTTTTTAAAAAAAGTAAGTTTATTAATTTTGAGAGAGCACATACATGAGCAGGGGAGGGGCAGAGAGAGAGGAAGAGAGAATCCCAAGCAGGCACCATGTGGACACAGCTCCGATCTCACAAACTGTGAGATCATGACCTACACCAAAATCAGAGTTGATGCTTAACCCACTGAGCCAGTTAGGCACCCCTTTGCCAGTCATTTTGATAGTGGGGCTATTTTGCTGAGAAAAGAAAAAAAAAGATTCAGAAGATGCCTCATGGGCAAGTGAACAATAACAGTAATCAATATATGCTGTTGGGGATTCAAGAAGTATTGCACCAGGTCCTGGCCATAAGGAGCTTACAGCTGAGTTAGCAAATGATTAAATACACATATCTCTATTTTGATAGCTTTTTTTTTTTTTTTTTCAAGGGAAGGTTATTTTCTCTGTCAGGCTTACTTGTATAAGGAAAGTTGAATATGTTATTCTTAGATTTCATATTAAGATTAATGTTGGAAGGAAAGTACTAAAAGCCATTCTGTAAATATTTTAACATGAAGAGATCAAGGAGCTCCAAAGTTCAGAATCCTGCACTGTATTTTTAGCTTAACTTAAGGGGCTTTGATGAAAGAAACTTAAGCATGTTAATAAGGAAAACTCGTTATGTGTTTCCCCTTTACTTCAGGTAAAAACAGTTTTAAAGATCAAATAACCTCATATACTCTCCTTTTTTCCTTCCTTCTTTTTTCTAGCTCTAGTAAGAAGTTATGTATTAAGAGTGTTGTTGGCCATGTGTAGCAACATGGATGGACCTTGAGGGTGTTATGCTGAGCGAAATAAGTCAGGCAGAGAAGGACAAATATCCTATGTTTGCACATATAGGAGGATTAGGAGGAACTTGACAGAGGAACAAGGGGGAGAAGAAGGGGGGAAATGGTGGGGGAAAGGGAGAGAGGCAAACCATGAGAGACTCTTGAATGCTGACAAAAACTGAGGACTGATGGATGTGGGGGGGAGGGGGATGGGCATGGAGGAGGGCACTTGTGGGGATGAGCACTGGGTGTTATGTGGAAACTAATTTGACAATAAACTATTTGTAAAAAAAATTAAAAAATTTAAAAAAAAATTTAAAAAAAAGAGCGTTGTTTTCCAGGGTGCCTGGTGGCTCAGTCGGTTGAGCGTCTGACTTCAGCTCAGGTCATGATCTCATGGTCTGTGGGTTCAAGCCCTGCATCAGGCTCTGTGCTTACAGCTCAGAGCCAGGAACCTGTTTCAGATTCTGTGTCTCCCTCTCTCTCTGACCCTCCCCAGCTCGTGCTCTCTCTCTGTCTCAAAAATAAATAAACATTAAAAAAAGAGTGTTGTTTTCCAACTTTCTCATACAAATCATGAAGTAATAAATAAAACCACGGTCAAGGAAGTATTGAAACATCATGTTTCAACAAAACTAAATTGCAAATTTTGAAAGAAGGACATTAACCCAGCCATAGAATCCTTTTAGTTAGTTACTCAAAGATAATTCAGTTGGCAGTAATTGTCCAAGAATGACCAGCACTAGAAAGTCAGTTTATGTATTTGTTTTTTCTTATAAATTGACTATACTATTAAAATTGTTATTTTTTCTTTTGCTTCCACAGATTTGTAGGGAATGTCATGTTTGGTTATTGCCCCTGAACAAAGTGAAAAAGTAACATTATATCAATGGGGAGAGATGCTGGGACAATTTCAGTTAGGAGTCCAATGCCTGCAGTGCTACTGTGTGACACTGGATAAGTCCTTCAGTCTCCATGAACCTCTATTTCCTTATATATAAAATGGGATTATAGCTACAATTATTACCTTAAAGAGTATTAAGTATGTGAGAATATGTGAGCAGAAAGTGTCCAGCACATTGTACATAATCAACAACTGTTAGTTGGTATGGATCCTTCTTCTAGAACCTTCTCATGACCAGTTACTTCATTTCTTTTTATTATAGTTAAATTTTAAGCAAGTTATTTCCTTCATTGGTAAGTATTCGTAAAAATTAGGAGAACTCATAGAAAGAAAATTGTAGTTTCCTTCCGTGATTTTTCATGACATCCTTCTCTGAGATATTTATAAATCAGTATTTTTCTTTCTCTAGACAGCAAGCCAGTGAGCAGCCCCAGCCTGCCTTTGTCCCACAAGAGATGCCCATGTCATCAGGTTACGAGGGACAATTTTTCCAGCCAGCATCCAACCCAGATTATTATTCACAATCTTCTTACATTGACAGTTTTGATGAAGAGCCTCCTTTGCTAGAAGATAAGTTAAGGGAATGTTGTTAATATGTGTACGGCTAGAAGAATAATAGCAATAATCAGCACGTAATGTGCACTGTCAGCATGCTGCATACAGTGTTTTATGTTTGATTATTCCATGTTTAAACAAGAGTCTGCCAAACCAAGGTGCTTAAACCGCTGAAAGCTTGTCCGTTGGGGGGGGGGGGGGGAGGAAGTAGATCTGTACTATTGCCATGCTATTACTGCTGTTTTTAAATGTTTCTTCAGAGTGTTAGAGTGCAGACTCCCGTACTGTGTGTAGACAATAGTGAACATGTCTTTTAGCAGAGTGGTTATAGCAAAGTAATGACCTTTCCACCCCAGTTGACTTGTATCATCTCCTATGATGCCTAGGAGCCAAGGGGATGATTTCTGAATGTTCTTTTATTGTCAGGGATACAAGCCAGTTTTTCTTCTTCCCTGGCTCATATGAGCCCCCTCAGCTCAGCTAAGTATGGCTAAGTGGAGAGGAATATGATTCCGGTAAATACCACTGTTGGTGGCAGAAAACCAGTGGACCCTTGCAGTTGAAGATCTCAGGAATTTCAAGGAAGGTTCCAGCCATTGATTATTATTATTTTTTAATTCAGCCACACTACATCTGCTGCTTTTGCTCTTGGAAAAATCAACATGATGCTAGAAGCATAGACACTAGAAAATTAAAACTCAAGTAGATTTAAATTTAAGAGCCAAGGAGAAATATTAACAGGTTAACTATTATGCCCTAACCCCTTTATATGTAGTCAAGTGAAAAGGGATAGATTAAAATTCCCAATATTTTACAACAAAAGGTAAGTGTCTGTCTCATATAAACACAGCCAATCACTTGGTAGTAAAGCATTCTTTCTTTGCCTTCAAAATTTAAAAAGGTGAAAGATTTAAACCACTTAGAAAGGCACAGGGGTGCCTGGGTGGCTCAGTCAATTGGGCATCCGACTTTGGCTGAGGTCATGGTCTCACAGTTTGTGGGTTTGGGCTCTGCGTCCAGTCCTGTGCTGACAGCTCAGAGCCTGGAGCCTGCTTTGGATACTGTGTCTCCCTCTCTCTCTGCCCCTTCCGTGCTCACACTATGTCTCTGTCTTTCTCTCAAAAATAAACATTAAAATAAGTTTAAAAGAAAAGCACAGAAAATTATGTAGTAGACTTGTTGGCTCTTTAGAAGCCAGTTAGATTTGGGAATCAGTAATGTTTACGCAATTCATTCTAGTTTGCCTCTGTAATAATAATCAACACCTGCAAGTTATAAGCTATCCTCATTAAACATTTTAATTGATTCAATAAACATTACTACCTTAAAAAATGATCATTTGTATTATTAGAAAAGTTATCTATATTTAATATAGAAATTTTAAAAATACAGAAATGTATGAATAAAATTATGAGAGCCACCTAAAATTTTGTCTGTATGACATGACTACCATTAATGATTTGACGCATTTTCTTCCAGCCTTTATTCAATTTTTCTGAGTGTGTGTTTATAAATGCATATATATAAATATTTTATATATGCATATATAAATTTAAGTATATATGCTCAAAAATGAAATGCTATATTTTGAATATGTATTTATGAATACTCAAAAATGAAAGATCATACAATGGCTACAAAGTTTTGTATTTTTTTTCTTAATGTTTATTTATTTTTGAGAGAGAGTGAGAGAGACAGAGTGTGAACCAAGGAGAGGCAGACAAAGAGGGAGACATGGAATCTGAAGCAGGCTCCAGATTCTAAACTGTCAGCACAGAGCCCAACACAGGGCGTGAACTCACGAACCACAAGATCATGACTTGAGCCAAAGTTGGACGCTTAGCTGACTGAGCCACCCAGGCACCCAATAAAGTTTTGTACTTTTTAAAGTTACCTTTTGTCAAAAGCATTTCTATGCATACCTTCTTTAAAGTCATTGAATATTACTTGAAAATATGATATAGATTGGCTTCATGATATTTTGTCATATAAGAGTACTATAATTTAAACTCACTTAAAGTTTGCTTCTTATAGTAAGTAAGGCTTTGGTGAACACCATAGTTAACAACTTTGGCCTCTACAGAGTTGTCCTTGGGATAGATCCATAACAGTGGAATTACTGAGTCAAAAGATATTTACATTGTCAAACTGATCTAGAAAAAGGATGACCTACTACACCATCATCATAGTCATGAGATGTCTTAGTTAATTTAATGGGCAAAACAGTACTCTGTAGTTAATTGTTGATTACTAAAATAGTTAGACATTTTTTTCATGTCTATTGACTGTTCTTCCTGTTTTTCTTATTCTTTGTCAGATTTTTTATTGGAATCTTAATATTTTCCTTTCCTTGTTTATTTATAGGGATATTTGTATGTTTTTAAAATTATTTTTATTTTTTATTATTGTTAATCTTTTAAATATATTTTTTTTAATGTTTTATTTATTTCTAGGAGACAGAGAGAGAGACAGCGTGAGCAGGGGAGGGTCAGAGAGAGAGGGAGCCACAGACTCTGAAACAGGCTCCAGGCTCTGAGCTGGCAGTCAGCACAGAGCCCGACGTGGGGCTCGAACCCACGAACTGCGAGATCATGACCTAAGCGAAAGTCAGACGCCTAACCTACTAAGCCACCCAGGCGCCCCTAAATATTTATTTTTGAGAGACAGAGACAGAGCATGAGTGGGGGAGGGGCAGAGAGATGCAGGGACACAAAATCCAAAGCTGAGCTGTCAGCACAGAGCCTGATGCAGGGCTCAAACTCATGGGCTCCAAGATCATGACCTGAGCTAAAGTCAGACACTTAACTGACTGAGAGACCCAGACACCCCTAGGGATGTTTGTATGTTAAGGATATTTAATGATTGCCTGGAATATGTGTTGCAAACATTCTTTTTTCTAGATGGTGTTGGCCATCTAATTTGCTAATAGGAAATTAAAGTATATTAGAATTTTAATATTTATGTTTTCAAGTCCACAGTATTTTTCTTGGTAAATTTTCTTTCTGATTGTATTTTTGTTTAGAATGTATTTCTCCAGCTCTAGGTACTATTTATATCCTCTTGTATATTGTTAAAGTTTTTAATCATCTTTTTGTTTTCCACTTAAAGTTTTTATTCAATAAAAATTATTTATGTTAGTATGTAAAGTAGGATTCGACCTTATTTTTATCTTTAATGATTAACCAATTTTTCCTGTAACATTTATTGAAAATAATCTTCTCTTTTCTACTTGTCTAAATGTATCTGTTGCGGTATTCTAAACTCTAATGCATCCTTCCTTAATGTCTTCTCAAATTAAAATAGGAAATGCACTAGATTTCCCCTCCTGCCTTACGCAGCTTAGAGAAAATTCTTCAGTTTTTTTTTTTTCTTTTTGTGATTATCCCCACCAAATTGCTAGTGTATTTTAAGAGATTGCACCTAATATAATTCTGAATTTTGAATCTATGAGATTTCTAGACTCTGATTCAATATGTTCCTCAGGCTGGGTGACTGAGATCCTTTAGCCTCATCTGTCTCAAAGATATGAAAAAGCCATAGGCAGGGTTTCTAGGATAAGGTAATAAATGGTATTTGCTGGTTTTTATGGAGCATACACCAAACAGCCTATAACATTATGAAGCTATAATAATTAACATCCTTGCACAAAAATGTTATCTGAAAATGTGCTTGTTTATTCCTTAAATACTTTGTTATCTAAAAGACTCATTTGGTGGTTTTATGTAAGAATGATAACTTTTGCAATTTGATAATGTACAATCAATATGTTAACAAATGCGTCTTGAAGAATAATAGTCAATTCAAGTCTGTCAAACCAGAAGAATTACTGTGATATTCAGTACTTATGTATGTAGCGCAGCCTGATGTTTATACTTGAAAGGCCAGTGCCACAATTTGCACGTAAAAACAAGGATATTAATTCATTTTTACAGCATATGTATCATATACTTTGCTACCACTAGATGACAGCAAAACAATAAATTTTACATTCAAATTTCACAATAGTTTTATCTTTTATCTTTACAACAAAGTATTTTATTAGGATATCTACAATTAATAAATACTTACAATCTCATTTGCATACCTTGCAATAAATTTGGAAACAAAATATTATGGAGATATATTTTAGTAGAAAACTCATAAACTCTTTTTTGGAATGACAGTATGTAGCAGGTCTTATGTTCATTCACTGGTTAATGACTTGATGTTGAAACATGTGCAGAAGTTAATTATGCCATCAAATAAATGTCTAAAATCAGTAGTAATGTCTCATAAAACATTTTTCATCTGAGTTTCATCAGTATTAATTGCTATGCTTTTTGAGGAAAAAAGGTATTTTGAATTAAAGGCCACTTTGTTGTGGTAAATACTGAAAACATACTGCTAGCATAAATGTCAAATTGAAATTGAAAATAAAGTTTGAAAACAACATAAAGCTTAGGTGGAATTAATTTCAACCATAATATTTCTTAAATTTTAAAATCTGCTAACTTAAAAAATCACATTAGATATTCTAATCTCATTAGAATGTCACATTAGACATTTTATAACCTCTAAGCTCATCTTCTCCAAAGTGTGTGTTCATTAAGAAATATATAAATAACAGTATGATAATAAGAATGGAAGTTGAAATGTACATGATTTACTCACCATTAACCAGTCAAATTCTTTTTCAAACTAGGGATGGAAACTGTCAGCCTGAATGTAAAATGAGTGAAAAAATATCTTTCTATCCCAGTGTAGACCAATGTCTGGCCAATCTTTTGAAAATGTCTAAGTCCCTGTTAGAGCAAGACCCCTCTTATGTCTTGGCAGTCATTAATAGTCCATCTGGTATTCTATGTATAGAATGTCAGATATGCAAGATGTTAGGTGTTATGTGCTACTGTAAAAGAAGTTGAACTATGCCCTATATCTGACTGAAGACAGTTACTAAATCCTAGGAAGGTAAGTTGAATGCCATGTACAGATGATTTGGGGGAAAATCCTTCACATGGGAGAATTGGGCTCAATTTAAAAAAAAATACAGCCATTATGAAATGATGCACATTGAGACCCATAGCTATATTATTAAAAGTAAGGGTTTTTTTTGTTTTTTTGTTTTTTGTTTTTGGTTTTTGGTTTTATTCGTTTTGTGTGTGGTGTGGTGGGTGGGCAGGCACGTGCACTTGCCTTTATACCAGTCTCTTCCTATTTTTCCCACCCTCAGCCCCTAGCAACCACTTTTCTACCCAGTTTCTATGTGTTTGCCTTTTTTGTCATTCATTTAAAAATCCACATTTAAGTGATTCTGTGCAGTATATGTCTGTCATCATGCCCTCAAGATTCGTCCATGTTGTTGCAAATAGCAGGGCTTCCTTTCTCGTGAGTGAATACTCCATTATATGTATGTACCATGTATGATCATATGTATGATAGATCTATCCATTCATTCATTGACTGAAACTTAGATTGTGTCTATATCTTGGGTATCATGAAAAATACTGCACTGATCATAAGAACTTAGATATCTCTTTGATATCCTGTTTCCATTGCCTTGGGATATGTATCCAAAAATGGGATTGCTGGGTCAAATAGCAGTTCTATTTTTTTTTTCTTTTTTTAAACTGGCCAGGTTCAGTGCTCAGGTCAGCCTCTGGCTGCCATACATTGCTGCCCTGGGGACAGATCCACTGGGCTCCTTGCTGTAGCCACCCCCGCCAGGAGCCCGTGCCCTCCAGCTGTAGGGAGATCTGTGGCCAGCCTGGTCTGGTGAGCAGCCACAGTGGGAGCAGTGGAAATACCAGAGCCCTATTTTTTTTTTTTTTTTTTTGAGGAACCTCCATACTGTTTTCTATAGTGGCTGCGTGAATTTACATTCCCACCAACAATGCACAAGGGTTCCCTTTTTTCCACATCCTCACAAACACTTATTATTTCTAATCTTTTTTGATAATAGCATTCTGACAGGTGTTAGGTGATATCTTATTGTGGCCTTAATTCAAATTTCACTGATGATTAGTGATATTGAGCTGATATTCATGTACCTGTTGGCCATTTGCATGCATGTCCTCTTAGGAAAAATGTCTATTCAGGTCCTCTGCCTAGTTTTTATTTGGATTGCTTTTTTAAGGAAGAAAGCATGGGTTCTTGAGTCAGATTCTTCAGTGCTGAAACATAGACTTCTGTTACTAGTTCTGTGACTTTGGAAAAATTACTATTTCAAAACCTCAGCTACCTGATGCACAAAACAGGAATAAAGTAATAGTACTAGCTTCATTACATGTCTGGAAGACCAAAGCATACAAATCTTGTACAGCTCACAGCAAAATTCAGTGCAAGCATTCAATAGAAAACATTTAAGTCTTTTTAGTTGAAATGCATGTTCTTTACAGTAGTTTGTCTCTAGTTTTTCTGGATCTCTACCTTACTCTTATTCAAATTTAAAATGATAGAAGGAGGGTAGCCAGCTTGATCGTTGGTTCTTAAATAGTAAAGTCATGTTCTTCTCCTTTTTGAATGTTTTTTTCTACTCAAGTTACATCTTAAAGTATATAGATGTGGTGAGAAAATAAACTAATGGGACGTCAATATTTATTTCTGTATTCAGTGGATGTCAGATGCCTGGGTGGATTTGTTTTGTTTTTCAAATAAAAATGATATAAGAGGAGCAGAATCTAGCAGACAGGTCTGTGAGGTGGCAGTCAGAATTATTTAAAAACAAGGTATTCAGGAAAAATACTTATTTCTAAATTAGTTTGGACTCATGGACACGGAGTCCCACAGATTTTGGATATTTTATTCTATCACCACCACTCATAAAAGGGAAAGGATAACTTGTCTCAAGAATTTAATCTTTGAGTACATAGACTCAACCACAATAGCACTGACCTTATTAAAATATGGGTGCTAAAAGGAGCCATTCTTGCTTTCTCCTCTGTGGGGTTTTAGGCAGTGAGTACAGAACTACTCTTCCCATCAGGCAGGGTGGAAGTAAAATCACAGATCTGGGCTAAATATCTTCAGTTTAGGTAATACTGCTAATGGAAAAATTATATCATGTTTGATATAAGCATGATATGATTTCAGAAGTATTATCAAGGGAAAATAGGGAAAGAGGAAATATGTAAATTGGCAATAGAATAGGACCTTCAGTCTGTTATCTACCATATTATTTTTTTTACTGTAGAACATCTGTTTCCCAATTTTCAGACTTTAAGCTTATATTTAGTGTGGAAGGCAGGGAAATTTTTCTTTCATGTAATTATTTATCTAAAATATTTCTTTTAGCTCATTGGGAACAGAAAAAATCTGTTTTTTTAATTTTTGTTTTTGAATTACTCTATATCACATAGAACTTTAGACTTTGAAGACACAAAGATCAGCTTAAAGTGCTAAGTAAAAACAATATTATTCACATTTATAAAATATTTACAGTACCTTTTTTATTTTTGCAGAACTTGGAATTAATTTTAACCACATATGGCAAAAATCCTTGACTGTGTTAAACCCCCTGAAGCCAGCAGATGGCAGCATTATGAATGAAACGGACCTCACTGGGCCCATCCTGTTTTGTGTCACTCTGGGAGCCACCTTACTTCTGGTAATAGACAGCAGCAAGCACCAGTTTTTAATGTGTGCCCTTCCAAATGTCATTTTTTAAGGACTCTTTGTTAATACAGAAGAAAGTGTGTTACTTTTTAAAGTGTAAATCTTAATTCATCACTACATTTGTTTGTTTTTGTTTTTTGGTGAGGGAGATGTAGTTAATTGAATCATGGAGACAGAGTAAAACTACCCTCAAGTATGACTACAGATAAAATACACATCTAAGCAGAATATCAAAACTCAAATCACTAAGCAAGTTTTCAACAAAGCAGGAGATCCTTTATGTCTTTCTTGTTATCAAGATTGTCAATCTGAAAAAGTCGAAAGAACACATGGATTTGGGAAATATAGTCCCAAATTTTATTTCTTGTTTTCTGTGACATTTCTATCGTGACACCACAAAGATCCCTTCTTTTTGCTCATCATTTTCTTTGCTGAGGTGTATCTCTAGAATATTTCAAATACTCTGTAAGGTATGAGATGAGTCTCCTTGTTTCTGGTTAGGTTGTTATGAATGTATTAATTTGCAATCATAACCAATAATTTGCTTATTCAATCTGTATATTTCTTAATTATTTGTTTTCTGCTTTTTATGAAGACATTTTTCCCCTGAATTTACCATTTGTCTGTTATATAGGCCTCTTTCATTCTTTAAATCTAGGAGAGATGATATTGATTCATGAGAGAAGTAAAGAAAAATATATTTCCACCTAAGATAAGTTTAGAAGCCATTCTAGCTCATAATTTAGAAAAATGTTTCATTTTTTAAAAAAAGGAAAAAAAGAGAAAATGAGAAAAGGCCTCTGATTTTAAACAAAGGAGATAATGACCATACATTAAAAACAGGATGTAAAAGATGATCAGGCCAGTCTGAAAAGTATAGTTTCATTAAGGAACAAAGAAATAAACTTGGCAGGAGAAAGAATACAGGAAATTAAAGATTCTAGGAAAAGCCTTTAAAATAACTATTTAGTCCACTTTTCCCTCTTAAAGCTATACACTTTCTGTAATTGGTTTCCTCAATGTAGCTACAATTCTCAAAATTAGATGTAAAATGTATTTGCAACTAAGTAAATTTTCACTTTGTATTTACTAATTGACTTTATGCCAATCAAAATACTGATAGAAATCTAGTTTCTGCATAATGATGTGGTTAATAGTCACATCATATTTATCCAATAGAATAGTATTACTGATAGCATCTTATTTCTTCCTTTGAACTATAGCAACTGCAAGTACTCAAGTACTCTAGAAATCAAACATTGTATCAGCTAGAGTTTTAATTTAGTCTCCAACTTCCCTTCTGTCTTTGTCACAGTAATTTGATAATCTTAGCTACGCTAGGGAAGACCGCATCAATTAATCAAATAGTCAGAAACAATCCATTTAATATATTAACTCATATTTTCTTTTTCAAGTGATTTATAAGTATAAAGGCTGTTTGCTTTCCTGTAGAAAATATTACCATTACCATCCCTCAAAGGAAAGCGTTATTCCTATTAAGATCTTTTTGGGGGTACATAATGTTAGTTATAATTATTTAAATATCCTTTCTTTTTTTTGTTTTGTTTTGTTTTAAGTACAAAGCAATATAGCCAAAAGAACTCAACTGGAAGTGAGAAAATTGTATCTACCCTTAACATAGCCTCTAGGTATGATCTTGAAACTTCTGTTCCCTTTTTCTAGGCCTTCCTTTCTTCATTTTGAAGACAAAAAAAAAAAAAGGTTTTTAAGAGATTTCTTAAGATTCCATTCAGTTCTAAAATTTGTGGGGAATATGTGAAAATGCATATTTTCTGAAACTTTTTAGGCAGAAGTTATCAGTTTAATTTTACTATTAGATGCGGTTACTTCAGAGCTGGTTCTGATACATAGAGCCATAAGAACCAAAAACAGTATAGATCATCCAAGTTTATATTAATGAAGTCAGATTTCACTCAGACTCCATTTGCTAGCTAACCCTGCCCTGGATATATAGGGTTAAAAGGTAAAGGAGAATTTTGTGGGCTGGTACATGCATTACACTAGAGAAAGCAGAACTAAATCCAAAACAATATTCCATTTGTTCATTCATGGTCACATACTTATCACTTTTATAATGTATGTGGACATAAAGCATGACACAGTATCTTTTGTGGCCCTTCTTCATGTTGAAGGAGGCAAACCAAAAAAGGCAGCTTCAAATAGTTAACATAAACTTAATTTTACTTATTCTTACTCTCAAAACTATTTTCACTCCCAAAACAAGGAAGATGAGTGGCTCATCTATGGCTCCATTTAATTTTTCTGGTAGATCTAAGAGTATGATCTGGAAAAGGAACATGCATGACCAATGTAAAAGCATAATCAGAAGAATAGTATTTCAAATCAAGATAGTAGTGAGAGTGGGACAAAAAGGACCAGAAAAGTTTTAAGATTAAAAAAAGGGGGAACATTTATTTTCCATTTCAGTTACAAGCCCTTTTTAAAGTTTGAAATAAATTTTAAAAATGGCAGTGGCCCCTGCCAAATGTAATTACCACTTAAATTGGGATAAACTAACAAGAAAAGAGATGAAGAGAGAAGTCAGTAATTGATATCGAAAGGGGCAATTTTACTATCAGATTAGTTATATCCACCCTCTATTTATCCTCCCCCCCCCATTTATAAAAATGCTTGGGGTCAGGAAGGTATACCTCTGTGTTCTTTGCATGTGGGGAAGTTTGCTTTCACCATTACAAGTTTCCCTACCTCAGAATTATCTCCTCCAATCAAATTATCAAGTAGAATCTTTCTCTAATACATGAAAGTGATTTGAAATTGTCACTGTTTTCCAAGTGAAGCAAAGTCACCCAATAAAACAATGCATAACTGATGGGGTTTTTTTAACATGTCTACTAGCATTATCAGCATCATTTCACAAAAAAGCCATGAGAATACAAAAGTTACTCAATAAGAACTTATTATGGCTAATGCAGGAGAGAATTCCGCAAGCACAGCCCAGGGACTTTTTGTGAAAGGACTTACTTTGTAGTGACCAATCCCCTCAACTGTGCAGAGGAAGAAGAACTCAAAACTGCTAGACAATTTGGAACATTAAAATGGTCAAAGCATTCTCCATTAATTAATTGCAAAGTAAATACTTCTTTACCCTGTAAATACCTTTTTACCATAAAGACATAAAGACTTTATTGATAACAGCCATGGAGAAGAAAACTAACAGTTAAAAAACTCACTCTCTGAATTTACCAGATCCTTCATTGTTTTGCATAATTCTCATGAACACCAGAGTCAACCTATTCAATATTTGTCTAGAATTTCTAATCAGCTTAATGTAAATATAAAAACTAAATGCGTTCTTTCCTGGGGCTTTGGCATCCTCAGGTAGCAAACATTAAAATATCCCCTGTTGAATCAGTAGGAGACTGTGACTTTCCCTGGGTGACTCTAATGGGAATATTTCTGCCTCACAGTCCCTAGTGTCTTCTGGGCGATGACTGTTTTTATGAGTCCTCAGAAAAATCAGTGTTGTATCCTCAGCGCTACTGACTTCCTTTAATGGTACTTAATTTATGATTCATTATCAGTTGGTTTATACAAACCAGTTTTTCATAACATATGTTCAGTTAAACTAGTAATAGGCCTTATGAAAACAAAGGATTCTGTGGTCAAATAAGTTTGGGATATGCTAGGTTAAATAAGGGTAAACAAGTCCCATTATTTTAAGACATGTTAGAGCTCCTATAAATGTCCAGGATCTAGTTTTAGAGCTAGACTTCCTAGGTTGAAAGCCAACTTCCATCACTTAACATTATTTTACTTTGGGCAAGTTACTTAGCTTTTGTGCACCTTAGTTTCCTCATGTGTAAAATGAGTATAATAATGGCACCTAATAAGGTTGTTGTGAGAATTAAATAAGCTAATATACATTATATGCTTAGAATAAGTCCTAACATAGTAAATCCTATAGATATTGGCTAACACTAATAATTTGCCTGGTAAAATCTTCAAGACTAAGTTGGAATTTTTTTCATTAATTTATTCATTCATTAATTATGCAACAAATGGAGAAAAATATATTCTTACTTATGTCTTGTATTTCTATTAGGTAATCAATGATTTAAAAAAAAAAAACTAGAAAATTTTCTTCTCTGTGGCTTGCTTGTGCCATCCCAAGTATAGTTGGGGATGTTTGTTTTCAGGACCTGAATTCATATGATAGCCAGTTTTTTTTTCCAGCATGCCCAGTCTCCTGATGACATGGAACAGTGTTGAGCTGATTGATTCTAAAAGGCTCTCCACTTTGTTGATATTCCAATTTCCTCTTGGTGTTTCTTGTGTGGTTCTAATAGTTTTCTTACCATTCTTTCAGGCAGGAAAAGTTCAGTTTGGTTATGTGTATGGCATGAGTGCCATAGGCTGCCTAGGGATTTACACCTTACTGAACTTGATGAGTTCTTCAGGGGTGTCTTACGGCTGCGTGGCAAGCGTACTGGGTTACTGCCTGCTCCCCATGGTCATCCTGTCCAGCTGCGCCATCTTCTTTTCACTTCAGTAAGTGCCTGTGTGTGCCGACTGCCCCCACATGCACAATCATCTGTGAAGCTTGCCACACCCGTGGAGTAGTTAACCTCTTTCAGGTCTGGTAGTGGCATGGGGGAAACTCTTAACAGCTACACACAGATTCAGGGAAAGTAGGTCAGTTTGGACTCAGGTACTGTTCTTATTTGGATGATTTAAATAATAAATACAATCAGGTTATCTTTGAAACTGGCACTTTGTAAGTTGTGTCATTCTTCAATATGAACTATTGTCCGGAGTAACAGAACAACTGCAGGAAATTCACTTGTTTGGTTTTGGAAGAGTGAGTGCCTGGTGAACACTGACAAATTGCTTCAGTTCCCAGGCACTGTGCCTTCTAGGCGGGAAGCAACTGTTCTTTCTCAGCTGGGCTCCTTGCAGGGAAAAATTCCAGGAACCCTGATGAGGATATTTATGCTAGAGAACTTTATAGCATTTATATTCAGCCAATAGATTTTTTTCTCTTTTTACTTCCTGGGCAGATAGTATTTGCAATTCAAAACTGTTAATGAGGATCCAGTAGGTGTGTTTCTGTTGAGCACTTTCCCAGGGCATAGCACATCACTGAGCTGGTTGGGGAGAGAAAGTAATTACATAGTCCTTTGTCCCCTACATGCCCTGAACCCAATAAACATTTGACATTAGTGCTCATTTTTCCACATTCAAAGGAGGCACAATTTGCATTTTTTTCTTGGATGATGCACATTTTAGGTTATTAACACTATATTGGATGGTATATTATTTGAAGAATTCACCAATGCCAAAGGTAGGCATTTCAATTTCGCTTAGATATCTCATATAGTTCTTTTCACAATATTACTGAGAATGACTTAGTTGGGAATGCATCTTTGTTTTAATATGGTCTTATTTTTAATTTTTGTCAATGTTTAGTTTTGAGAGAGAGAGAGGGAGAGAGAGAGAGGGAGAGAGAGTGCAAGTGGGGTAGGGGCAGAGAGAGAGAGGGAGACACAGAATCTGAATGAGGCTCTAGGCTCTGAGCTGTCAGCACAGAGCCCAATGCAGAACCCAAACTCACAAACCATGAGATTATGACCTGAGCCGAAGTCAGATGCTCAACAAACTGAGTCACCCAGGTGCCTCAATATAGTCTCATTAAAAAATATTAATGCTTATTTACTTTTGACAGAAACAGAGTGTGAGTGGGGGAGTGGCAGAGAGGGAGACACAGAATCCAAAGCAGGTCCCAGGGCTTGAACCCATGAACTGTGAGATCATGACCTGAGCCGAAGTTGGACACTTAACCAACTGAGCCGCCCAGGGGAGCATTCTTGAGAATAACTTAGAGCAAACACTTAGTTTATCAGCAAGTACTCAACATTAAAGAAAGAGGAATATTACAGAAAACGGACACCTTGAATGTGTAAATACAATGTGAGTTACAGATATACTTACTGAGTCTTATCCATGGAAAAATTCCACTTTTTGTATATCATGTTCTTTAGCAAGCTTTCCCATTTATTAAGTTGTTTGGTATAGACATTTGACAAGTTAATACAGTGTTTAGTTCTACAACTTCCATTTTGTTAAGTTTTTTTTTTTTTTTCAAAAAATGCTATAATGATTTACCATTTAAAAATTTTAAGTTTAAAGCATTATTTCCAGCAAAGTTGAGGTTTGGGGCATCTCATATGACTTCATATTATTAGAGGAAAGAAAATAAAAATGGAAACATTTGAATTTTGAGAAACATCAGAAGTCTGGACCTTTAATCATTAGATTTTCAGTCTGAAATTATAAAGGATGATTTAGAAATCTTTTAAATTATGTTAGAGTAAACTATCTGACCTCAAAGACTATTACACTGAATTTTCGCTTTCTAGCATATTACTATATCATTCGAATCAATCCTATGTAATTTTACACTTTTGTTCATAAAAACCTGTATATTAGATCAACCTATAAATTATTCCTAATAGACATTATTTAAACCAAGGAATATAATATTCATTAGAGTACATTTTAAATACTTTTGTTTTTATTTGTAAGGCATTATAAGCTACATTGTAATTTTTCAATTGTTTATCTTTGGTTCAGTTTTGAAAAGTAAATATTTTTGTCATTCTTACAAATAATAAACAAAATTCTCAACTTAAGATTATACCAAGATTGAGTGAGACAGTGTGATGTCAGTGAGCTGATGGTGAAAGGAGCGATGGTGCCAGTAGGAATTAGGAGATCTTGACCTAAAGTCCATTTTACTATGCAGTTTTCCTCATGTCACTTCACTGATCTAAAGCTGGGGACTACATATCTCTGGATCTTTCCTAGCTCTTATAGCTTATTTTCTAAATAATGCATTCTGTTTTGCACATAAGGAAAGAAATTCATACAGTTCCTCAGCCTCATTCTACAAATGGAGATAGTAGTTACAAATATTGTACCATGGACATTTCAGAAGCAGCTCTGATTCAATAATCTCTTTTTCTCTTGGCATAAGATGATCATCTCTTTTGTCTTTGCTGTAGGGGAAGCTTTGGAACTGTGTTGGCTCTGGTCATCATTGGCTGGTGTAGTCTCTCAGCTTCCAAAATCTTCATTTCAGCCTTGAACATGGAAGGACAACAGCTGCTCATTGCCTACCCTTGTGCTTTACTTTATGGACTTTTTGCTCTCCTCACAGTTTTCTGAGGAGTATTTGAGATGGTGGTTCAAGATTCTGTTTGTTTCCTGTTCACGTTATCCTGGAAATGTATTAGCATTCAAATTTGGTGATGTGGTTGGTTTCTGCTTTATGGCTATTGAGAGAATAATAAGCAAAGAGACAAAACAGCACTTAAGGATGGTGTTCTAATAATTTGTTTGGTTTGAATGATGTTTTTGCTTTTCGTTTTGATACATTAAAACATTTTAAAATACTTTAAAATGAAAGGGGATATAGTTGTTATTATGGATGGACCCTGCCTTTCTCAACAGATCTATTTTTAAGAAATTTTATGTACATAAAATCATTTAACGACTGCGTAAAGTAAATCAATGGTGAGCCTTTTGAGAAACATTCATGACAATTCAAGCTGTGTTCCTGTGGTGAAGATCACATTGTCCAGTACCTTTGGAGAACTGCAGGAGAGGGTTATATAGGGTTTTATTTACCTGAGAACTCAAAGAAGCTCCTGTTTTTCAATTCATTTACTGTAGCAACTGTTTTTTGGTCCCATTTGAACAATGCACTAATTCACCACTTCCGTCTTTCTTGGTTTAGATGTCATGGTCCATTATTATAATTTCTTTCTCTCATGTGTCCTCAGTAAACTTACCATTTGCTCTCTAAGTATACAAATGTGATGAGAGGAAATCCCACTTGTCTCACCTTAATTATATTTCTATATCTTAAATGGCTCCACAGTCTTGCCTTTTGAATCCTACTACATTACCCTGAGGGATTTGTTTTCACACTTTCTGAGATGATCATATCACACCATTTCTTCACTGCTCAGATCTCCTTCTTCATTTCTCACTGTTCATTGGTGACCTTTCTTCACATTTTGTTGAAAAATTAAAACATCCAGAAAAAAAGTGCTGCATCTTTCTACCACCAGATCTACCAGCCTACATGCAGCTTTCATGTGTGTGTGTGTGTGTATGTGTGTGTGTACATACAGAGAGTGTGTGTGTACACAAACACAAGTGTATTGTACATTCTCTCCTGACACTGTCTCTTCTCACAACCAGCCTTTCCACCTATGTAACTAATGTTTTCCTCTTGTCTATTTAAATTCTAATTCTAATTCCAATGTGTAGGGGTTTATCCTACACCGCCAAACAATGCTCCAACACCAACTGGGTTCCTTCCAATCTGACTCAGTTCTGATACTTTCTGCCTGGAGTTTCAGATCCCATGGGTTACAGGCTCAGTCCCACAAGTCTGCTTTCAGCCTCCATTTCAGATGCCAACTGCAAATCCAAGTTGTCACCTCTATTTCTGACCAATTAGTTATAGATTGGAGGTTCCAATCACCTCCTCCTTGGGTATGATTAATTTTTCCGGGGCAGTTCATAGAACTCAGAGAAGCATTTTACTTACTAGATTACCTCCTTATTATAAAAGGATATAACTGAGGAACACCCAGGAGGAAGAGTTGCAAGGAACGTGGAAAGGACACAGAGCCCCTGTGCTCTCTCAAGGGGTGTCATTCTCTCAGTAACTCCACAGGTTCACCAACCCAGAAGCTCCCTGGTCCTTTTGAGTTTTATGGAGGGTTCATTACATAAGCATGATTGATTGTCATTGGCCATTGGTGTTGAATTCATTCTCCAGCCCCTCTTTCCTCCGAGGAGGCTGGGGAGTGGGAAGGACTGAAAGTTCAACTCTCTAATCATAGGCTTGGTTCCCTTGGCATCCAGCCCCCAGTCTGGGGAACTCTCCAAAAGTCACTTTATTAACATAACAAAGGACATTTTTAAGAAGTTTCATGGGTTTTAGGAGTTTTGTAAAGAAACAGGGGTAAAGAAAAATGTATATTTCATATTATAAATTACAGTTTCATACCTGTCATTCATATCAGAACATAAAGGTTTCATTATCTCTTATCTTAAAAATAAAAATCCTTTGATTCACTACCACTTTCCAGTTCTGGCACATTTCTGTAATAAAAATCTTTGAAAGAAGTGTCTGTTGTCTCTCCCACCACCCATTTTTTGTCTTACAGTCCAGCCAAGATTCATTACCCTATTCATCAAGACCACCTTTGTCAAATCAACAATAACATCCATATCTCACAAATTCCAGTGGTCAATTCTCATCCATTTTATTTGAACTCTCACAGGTATTTGATTATCCTCCTCATCAATTTCCTCCTGCCCCTGTGCCAAAGCAATTCTTCACTAGACTTCTGGGACATCATTCTTTTTTTTCCCCCCTATCTCATTGGTGGCTCCTTCTCCATATTTGGGCTTTCTTCCTCTTCTAGGACTCAAATTGCTTCTCTTTATATACTCACTTACCAGATGAGCTCATTTAATTGCATAGCTTTAAAATTTAATGACTCCCAAATTTCCATCTCCCATCTAGCAATCTCCCCTAAGCTCTTGACAGGAACCACAAATCACCCAGTTGCTCAGTCTAAAAACTAGTAGTCTGTCTTCATCACCCTTATTTTTACTTCCAACATCCAATCCAGCAGAATATCCTGTTGACTCTGTAATCAGAATGTACCCCAAACTTGAACATGTTTCATGACCTCATTCACTGCCAACCCTACTTCAATCTGTTATCGTCTGTTATCTAACTGAAGCAGTCTTCTTACTGGTCTCTTAGCTTCCATACTGTCTCCACAATAGGCTTTTCTATACACAGCAGCCTTCATGGTCCTTTAAAAATGTAAATAATTTGTTTATCCCAAGCAAAAGGTCTTTTTTTGACTTTCATTCATATTTACAATAAAATCCAACCACTTTCTCATGGCTCAGAAGTTTATTATTCAAAGAGAGGTCTTCAGAACAACAGCAGTAACATCCTTTGAAGTATTGTTAGAAATTCAGAATCCCAGCCCTTGCCCCAGACTAACTGACCAGAGTCTGTGTTTTAACAAGATCCTAGATGATTTGTATGCACAACAAAGTTTGAAAAGCACAAGCACTACTGGAGAGAAGAAGGCCTTGACTGCACGATCTGACTGTGTTTTACCTTTCTGACCTCATCTCCTTCCATTCTCCCCCTTGTTCCTTGGTTTTATTGCTACTTCTTGGGCCACCAAGTTTATCCACTTGAAGATCTTTACTCTTCAGTCTACCTGCGATATTTTTTCCTCTAAACCTTTCATATTAGTTAGGTTTCTGTTCATGATTTACCTCCTTAGAGAGGTCTTTACTGGCATTTCTTTCTGAAACAGTATACTGCCTTGTTTTGCTCAGTCTGTTTTATTGTCTTACACCTTTATATTTCTTACAATTACCTAAATTTATATTATATGTTTCTTTGCTTTCCATCTCTAAACACTTTGAGGCCAGAGACATTGTCTCCATAAATAACAGTTCCTGACAAAGAATAGCAGATTAATATAATACATATTTATTGAATGAATGAATGAATGAGACTGTGGTTTGGTATTGATTGTTGTAGTAAACAAGGCAACCAAGGTTGTTACAGCCTTGATAGAAATTACCGTGACATTGGGAGTGGGAGTGGGGAATAGACAATAAACAAGTAAACAATAAATAAACAAGATAATTAAAAAGTGTAAGAAGAATACTAAGGTAACCTTTTTCTACAAAAGAAAGCAATACTTTTGTAAATGTTGCATTCTGTAGTTTATAACCAATTAATGGACTTATTAGTGAAGCATGGAGTTTTCTTCAGTTCTTGCTCTTTCTACTTTGACTGAGGTAGTCCTACTGACATTTTGTTTAAGAGATACAAAGTAAGCATGTTGTTTATTTCAGTGATTTATTTGTAAAAGCATCCTATTGCTTAGCGGTGCATTTACATTATAGACTTAAAATTTTTACCTTTCAAAAGTGCTTTTACTAAAATAAGTTATAGGTAAAAATTGTTCTAAATTCAGATGTAGGCTGACATTTTTCTAGGCATAGAAACAGTCATACACAGAAAAGGTTTGATGTTTTTACTATGACAAATTATAACCTCCATATAATTAGCCACAAAAAATACTAAGTATTTCATAACAGCAAGAAATAAGAATAAATTCTATTTAATAGTTCCTAATGGCAAAATTATGAAATACAAGAATTAATGTAAAAATAAATATAGATGATTTCTATGAAAATAATTACCAAATACTAAATTCACTTTTTAAGAAGACTAGAATATGCCGATGGATATACTGTACCTCAGGACAAGATACTGAACTTTGTATAAAAGAATATCCCCACAATAAGTGTGTAGGTTAATATAATTCCATTTGAAATTCTAAGAATATTTTTTTCTTGGAAGTTGGCAAAGTGATTTCAAGGTTAATCTGAAAAAATAAGTAAGTATATAGCCATGACAAGTTGGGAATTATCTAATGGAAATAATGGAAAACCTAAAAAATGAATTTTTATGTAATTTTATGAAGTGCTCTTCACCATTTTGCAAAGGAAGCTACTGAGTTACCAAAAGGCTAAATCACTTGCTCAAGGTTATTTCAACAACAACCAGGATTTGAATCAGGGAAGCCTGAGTCCAGAGTGCATAACCACAACATAACACTGCTTATCATTGATTAAAAACCCTCACTGCATCTTCATAGCTACCAACATGTCTACTATTTATTCCACTCGGATTTGTACTTTCTCTTCAACCTTGGCCAATACTAGACAGAGCCAAAAAGCTTTACCTGATGGAGAATTATAGTACAGAAGAATCCAGAAAGTCTAAAAGGAATAAAATGTTAACTGCATGACTCCTGGTTCCATTTCTGAACTCTAGTTGAATATGCTATGCATATGCAGATCTAGTTAGCATTTAGATAAGAAAATCTCATAAAATATAGGCCTCTTCCCCCATTCCAAGTAGTGAGTGTACATTATGTGGCTTTGTATGAAATGGAGATATTTTTCTTTTCTAATAAATGGTGAAATTTATTTATGTTCAGTAGAGTATATATTACAGAATAAATGATAAAGGGAAAGGAAGCACAATCAAGGTACACGACCAGAAATACAAGTTTTTAGTTTAGAAAACTCTGCGAACGCTTTCCATTTTCCCTTCTTCTTGAATGCTTTCAAATTCCTTTATCTGAAAATGTAACATTTTCCCACTTTTCTGTTTTACTGGTTGAATAAAAGTTACAGACTATGTGCTCAGGGTAAATGGCACATTTGGAGTCA